AGTTTCAAAGGCATTGGAATTGTGTATTTAAAGCTGAACTACCAACACATGCAACCATTTCAAGGTTACATGATATGTTTGAAGCCAAGCACACCTGAGAGTCCAGATGAAGAAAAAAGTGTAGGAATATGTTAGTCATTAATCTCTTAAAAAGTGCACAGAAGCCAACAATGAAACTTTTAAAGATTGACTTCCTCAATATTCTAAGATCAGAGTTTTTAATTCCAATTTTTAGGGAATATATTTTACAATGAATCCATGATCTCATTGATGTGAACACTTTCTCCCAGTGGTGAGCAAATTAACTTGAACAAAATAAAGTTATTAAATGGATTTATAAAATTAACCTTACATTTTTTATGTCTTAAAAAACTTTCAACGTATATGTGTGTGTGTGTGTGTGTGTGTGTGTGTGTGTGTGTGTGTGTGTGTGTGTGTGTGTAAAGAGAAAGACAGAGACAGAGAGACAGAGAGAGACAGAAGGAGGAAGTTCAACCCCTTCCCCAGAGTCTCAGAGATCCAAACTTCAAACTACAGAAATCTACCCCAGCTACAGCAGCACCAGTGTGGCAATATTCTGCACTTCTAGGTCAGATAACTGAAGACCAGAAGGAATGGGACAGGACCCCATGTGTCACTGCATTAAGCCTGAGGGAAAGAACCCAGTATACAGCTGGAGCCAGTTCTGTTCTGCACCTCCTCCACCTCACCCCACCCCCAGCCTGGGGTCAAAGGCCTGGGCTGATGAACTGAATTGCCCAGTGTAGGAGGAGGCTGAGATAACTTTGATATTCAACCCCCAAGAAATCATAGGGGAGTCAGAAAGTGAGCAATAAGGGAAAATAAGGAGGAAAAGACTTAAATTACTAAAAATCGTATGACAAAAATTCAAAGACCTTTACCATAAGCAGACAAATCAACAGGGAAAACATTAACAGAGGAAATATGACTTCCAGATCTAGTAAATGATTTCAGACCTCAATATATAAATACTACAAAACAAAGGAAAATGACTCAATGCTTGATGAGACAGGGAACAATGTGGACTTTGAGAAGAAGATGGAACTACAACACATTGTTTCTGAGTAGATTAAAAGAGAAATGAGAATTATAAGAGAAGAATTTATGGTCTACACAACAGAAATAATTGGTAAACTAGAAAAACTTGAATCCACAATGGCAAATCTTAGCAAAGGAGAGATAGAGACAGAGACACAGAGAGATAGAGAGACAGAGAGAGAGAGAGAGAGAGAGAGACAGAGAGAGAGAGAGAGAGAGAGAGAGAGAGAGAGAGAGAGAGAGAGAGAGAGAGAGAGAGAGAGAAGACAATTGATTGGGAATGCAAATACAGAGAAGTAAAGAACAATCTAGATTAAAAAAAGGTGAAAAGCAATATCATTGAAAGAAAACACACTTCTTAACTGGAGCAAAACATATTCATCTTGAAAACAGGATGGGCAGAGATAATCTAAAGTATTGTTGATTTCCCATAATACAAGGTAAAATATCTAAACACCATAATGAAATAGCACCAAAAAAGTGCCCAGAAGTTCTGAACATAGAAAAAGAAACACCAACTGAAAGAATGCATAGATTGCTACCAGAAAAAAAAAATACCAATGCTGAAACCTTTGACTTCAAAATAACAACCAGTACTATATCTCTAGTGGTTACTGAAGGTTTCACATTTGCTTAGAATAGCATCCATTTCTAAAAACCACAAAATTAAAAATACAACAAAAGAAAATGATGAAATATGTGTGTAGCATGAAATTCAGCTAACTAAAGGTGGGGAAACCAGAGCTACCTAATTTAATGCATTAAAGTTAGATTTTTCTGGCACAGCCTTGTATCAATAGAAGCACATGTTTGTGACTATTGCTATCATAAAATGGAACTATATCAAAATTATTACTTATCCCAAGTAATTTACACATCATTATTGATCACAACTCAGCCATGTGATCTGTGGCCATGCCCTTCAATAAATCAGTTACTATAATGCATTTAATTGAAACGTATTGTGAGTTTGTACATATCATTTCCCATCAGAATGAAATGCCCCTTCTCCCATATCTGTCTCTTGAAATTCCTTGTGTCATTCAAGCGCCAAATTGGAAGTTATTTCCTCCAAGAAATCATTCCTGATGCCCCCAACTGGAAGTGATCTCTCTCTCTTCAAGATTCTTCATGATATTTCATTTGGATCTTTTCTTTGTATTTATAATATTCTTCCTTGTAATATAGTTATTTTTGAACAAGCTTTTGTATCCACTATTGGATTATAAACTCCTTGAAGGCAGGATTTTATTGTATCTTTTTAATTCCAGCAGTTAGCTCACTGTCTTAAATATGGTGGGTGCTTCAGAAATACTTAATTGAGCATATATTGTTTTAATCCGTTAGCTGGGAAAACATTAAGTCCTACTTTAATCAGCCACAATGTTTATGAAAATTGTATCTATTGTTATTTTCTATCACTCTATGCCTTGTTCTCTGTTCCTACTAATACTGGGACTACAAGAGTAGGCTGAGACTTTCCAATCCATTACCAAGACACATCTGTAAAGTCGCTCAACATCTTATCAGCAAACTGAAATCAAAGAAGGAAAAGGGTCATAGGGTTCAAGTCTAGCCACAATGACTCAGTAATTCAGTTCACTGACACGCCCAGGCCTTTCGAGAATCCCCAACCACAGTCTACAAGTAGGAGTTAGAACATATTGAATCATCCCATGTGGTATTTATGTCCACTGTTATCTCTCCTTTTTGTGTCCCATAGTGCAAAGTAACATCCCTGGTTACTTCAGACCCAGGTGCCAAGTGTATAACTTGGATATTAGCTGAATATTGAACACTGAATGAAGCCCTTCCCCACAAGAACAAATGGGATACCAGGGAATAAATAGCAGGGATGGTCAAGTTCTTTCATTTGGTGTTATCTTTTAAAGTATCATCACCTCTAAGTTGCTAAGAGACTTATCTTCCCAATATAACTTAGTTGAGATTTGTATTACAGTGAAGTATTCTACATGAAATGTTTTGCTACCATTTGTATTTCACTCCATACCACATGAGTCCTGATCCTTTCCCTTATGTAAAAGGAGAAAATGAGCTTGCCACCGAGCAAACATCTGCAGGGGAACTGCCAGGAAGGTGAGAAATACAGAATGCCCTACAACAACTTGGAGAGGTTGGCCCCTGCAACTGTGGTTATTTCCCTGGGCAGCACCACCTAATGTAATTTAGTCCAGGGGAGTGAAGAGTAATTTTAAAAAGAAAAGAAAACTTAAAACACTCCAGAAAGAAAATTTAGTACAAGCTCCAGTCAGAAAGGAGACAACTATCACTGGCTCCATTTCACAAAGAAGGTTCCAGTAGTGAATAAACTGTTCACTGAGAAAAACAGAAAAAGAAAAATTGGATTTCCTCAGGACCAAGTCAGCTCCTTAAGACTAACTAATACTCATTCAGAAGTAAGGTCATTATGTTCTTAAAGTTACCAGACATAATCAGTCTCCTCTGTTTATGGTCATAATTTTATCCACCAGGAAATTATGTGAGTATTGACCAAAAATGAGCTCATTCCCCCCCCCCCATCTAACATCAGTTACCTTATTATCCTTTCAGGAAATTTCCAGGAAGGAAACAGAATTGAATTGTCCTGAGTTGGAGGTTTGGTAACAGGTGGGTTTTTTTGAATAAGGCATTTTTTAAAAATATAGTAATAAAAGCATTGAGAGGAAATGTTAAAGAAAAAGAGAAGGGAAAGTGAAAAAGACAGAAAATCAAAAAAAAAAAGAGAAAAAAACAAAATGAGTACATCAGTGAAGGAAAAAAGTCGATGTGAAAGTTTCTAGGGAGCAATCAGCCAACAAAATGTGATTGAACACCCACTGCATTGTTAGATGTAAAGATACAAAGAACAATGGGGGTTGGGGGGGACTCAAGAAACACAATTTAGATGGGAAAACAAGGCTGTTTAAGTGATCATCCTTAATATAGGTCTGACCACATCAACCCCTACTCAATAAACCCCATTGGCTCCGCATTACCTACAGGATCAAATTTTAAATCTTGTTTGGTTTTTAAAAGCCTTTTCACAACCTGGTCCCTTCCTACCTTCCCAGTCTCCTGTACTTGACTTACCTCCTCAAATGCTATCTCAACCATCACTTATTGGCTTCCCCAGCCTCCTTCAGCACTCAGTTTAAATCCACCTTCTGCAGGAGGCCTCTCCTCTTACTAGTGGCTTCTCTCCAAGATTATCTTCCACCTATGCTGAATATATCTTAACTGTACCTAGCTGTTTGCATGCAGTCTCCGCCTTTAGAATGAAAGCTCCTTGAAGGTAAAGACTGTCTTTAACCTTGCTTTGCTTCTATAAAGCATAGAACAGAACTTGGCACTTTTTAAGCCCTTAATAAATGCGTGTTGACTTACAGATCTTAAGATGTTCAAAGTTGTTTGTCCTTACAATGTTGTTATTGTATAAATTGTTCTCTTGGTTCTGTTTACTTTTGTTATTGTTATTCAGTCATTCAGTAGTCTCCAATTCTTTGTGACCCCATGGACAGTAGCATGCCAGTTCCGTTTATCCTCTACTATCTCCCAAAGTCCATCCACACCCATGTATGTGGTTTCCATAACACTATCTGTCTCATCCTCTGCTGTCCCCTTTTTGCCTTTGATCTTTGCCAACAATCTTTTCCCAGTCTTTCCCAACAGGCTTCAGTCTTTTCCAATGAATGCCAGTTTTTCATTATGTGCCTAAAGTATTTAAGTTTCAGCTTCAATATTTGACCTTCCAATGAATAGCCTGAATTAATTTCTTTAAGTATTGACAGATTTGATCCCCTTCCTGTCCAAAAGACTCTCAAAAGTCTTCTCTAGCCCCACAATTCAAAAATGATGATTCTGTGACACTCAGCTTTCCTTATATTCCAATTCCCACCACCATACATTGCTACTGGAAAAACCATGGCTTTGACTATACATACCTTTCTTGGCAAGGTGGCATCGCTGCTTTTTAGTATGTTGTCCGGATTTGCCATAGCTTTCCTTCCAAGGAGCAAGTGTCTTTTAATTTCATGGCTGCAGTCACCATCTGCCGTGATCTTTGAACTGAGGAATATAAAATCTGACACTATTCCCATTTCTTCTCCCTCTATTACTCTATATCAATTCATACAAGTCTTCTCAGGTTTCTCAGTCAACAATGTAAGATGACATCCAACATTTCTAATGAAAATTTTACAGGCATAAAGTACTATAGTAGTTTTTAAAAGAGATAATTATAATATTGTACATTTTTCAATAGTTTATTAAAGTTAGAATTGAATTTTCTCCTGCATGAAGAGACAAATACAGGTGAAATCTTGGACCTTTTAAAAACATGTGGCACAGTTGCTTGAAAGCAGCTGGCAATAAATAACCATTGAATTAAAAAAAGTTCTTTGAAAATGCCTTAGCTTATGAAATAAAATCCAATTCAATGTCACTCTGTTATGCATCTAGACTTCAAAGCTCTAGTCAACATTTTATGGAATCAGTTTTCTACAGAAATCACTGAGTTCTTATAAGCATAAAGATTATGACTCCAGAGGGGCTGATTCTTTGCTATACTGTTCACAAATATTTTTAAGAGTTAATGCTTTGGCCCCTTTGCCTTCCCCAAATGAACCTTACTTTCTCACTCATGATGGCTCAGAATTAAGGATAGAGAACAGATATGGTGGGTAGAGGAGTAGTGAGGAAGAACAGAGGGAGGCATCTGGAAAAACTGATGTGGATATGCAGAGGACTAACTCATCAGCCAACCTAAACTTTTTAATTAAAAATATATATATATATTTATAAAACAGGGAAAGAAGAACAAATAAGGCAGCTAGGTGGTACAGTGGACCTGGAGTCAAAAGACCTAAATTTAAATCTAACCTCAAATACTTTCTAGCTGTGCAACCCTGGGCAAGTCACTTAAACTCGGTTTATCTCAGTTTCCTCATCCCTAAAATCTGTCACCTCCAGAATTATTGTGAGAATCAAATGAGTCAATAATTGTAAAGCACTTAGCATAATATCTAGCACATAGTCAGAGATATGCAAATATAAGCTATTAATAAGTGAGGAAGGACAGAAAAACAGTCTTGTGTGAATCAACAAATCATGCCAAGAGCACTAAAGCTAAGAGTAAGTTAAAGTTGTTAATGAATGCTAAGAGCAACAAAAAGCTTTTTGTGCTTTTTTTGTAAATAGCATTTTTTTCCAATTGCATGTAAAGATAGTTTTCAACATTTATTTTTTATAAGATTTTGAGTTCCAAATTTTTATCCCTCACTCCCTTCCCTCTCCCCTCCCTAAGACAGCAAGCAATCTGAAACATATTTCCATATTAGTAATGTTATAAAAAAAAAAAAGAAGCAAAAACAAAAGGAGAAAGCCACAAAAAAAGTGAAAATAGTATGTTTCGAACTACATTCAGAACCCATAGATCTTTCTCTGGATATGAATAGCATTTTCTATCATGAGTCTTGGAATTGTCTTAGATCATTGTATTGCTGAGAAGTTGATCATCACACAACGCTGCTGTACCGTGTACAATGTTCTCTTGGTTCTGCTCACTTCTCACTTCACTCAGCATCAGTTCACATAAGTCTTTCCAGGTTTTTCTAAAACCCGTCTGCTCATCAATTCTTATAGTACAATAGTATTCCATTACCTTCATGTACCACAACTTGTTCAGTCATTCGCCAAATGATGGGCATTCCCTCAATTTCTAATTCTTTGCCACCACAAAAAGAGCTTCTGTGAATATTTTTGTACATGTAGGGCCTCAAAAAGTATTTTTTAAAGCTCTATTAGGTAAAACATCATAATCACATAAAGGATAGAACTTTTGCTTGAGGTGGATGGGATAGTGATCACAGATTGGTGAGAGAAAGAAAAACTAGTCAATTCATGTTTCCTTCTAGTTCTTGTTTCTGCTAAAATTAATGAAGGACAGAACAAAAATAGCTAATGAGGAGCTAAAATCTGAACTAATCAGGGAGTAAGAGAGCACCTAGCTGCTCTTAATTTGCTCAAGTAATGAGACCCAGGCAAACCAAAACAGAGGGTACTAGAAGGAACTAGCAGATGGGAATATGAAACTATTGGCAGGAATCTCTGAAGAATTTTGCAGAAGAATATGCAGAAGATTATGTTACCATTCCTGTATTCAAGTACAAGTTATAGACCTGACAGTTCAATTTGGATTCCTGGAAAAATTCTGGAAGGTATTATCAAAACAAACTTTGGTAACCATCTAGAAAAGAAAGTGGTGATCACACAAAAACCAACATGTCTTCATCCATGCCAGAATGATCTCAATTTATTTTTAAACAGGATTATAAAACCAGTAGACCAGGGAGGTGCTACTGATTTAGATTACCTGATTTCTATTATTATTATTATTATTATTATTATTATTATTATTCAACATATTTTTTCATGCTATTATTGAAAAAATAGTGGTAGGAGCAGGACAATGTACAGTACCATGGTTTCCATATTGGTTGAAAAACTAGACCCTAAGAGTCATCATTGATAGATAGGTGTCAACTTGGAGAGCCTAGGGCAGTGCCCCAGATTGCTGCCTTTAGCCCTACTCTACTTAGAATTTTTTTTGGGGGGAGTGAGGCAATTGGGATTAAGTGAAAGTGTCAAGTGTCTGGTCTGAGGCTTGATTTGAACTCAAGTCCTCCTGACTACAGGCTGGATGCTCTATCCACTGTGCCACCTAGTTGCCCCTCTGCTTAGAATTTTTATCAATAACTGGGATAAAGGTATGAATGACATGCTTGTCAAATTTGCAAACTACACAGAGTAGTAATGGATAGCCAATATAAGTTAATGTGACATAGTACAAAAAGTCCTGGTTTTCCCATCAGAAGATTTTATTTCAAATCTCAACCCTGTACTTGCTACCTCTAGACCTCAGTTTCTTCATCTGTAAAGTCAGGAAATGGATTAGATGATTTCTAAGGCCCTTGCAGGTCTAAGATTATGGTTTGATGAATCAAGATTTTTAAAAGATCTCAACAGGCTAAAATTTTAAGCCAAATATACTAAGATGAGATTTAATAAAGATTAATATATACACCTTTAGTACTGTGTTAATGTGATCTGTGACTCATTATGAATGTTCTGGGTTCATATGAACCAAGTTCAATATTGAGGACTTCTAAAGAATTGTCTGGCTCATTTTGCTCTCTCCAAGAGAGTTCCCTGAAGATATCAGAACATGACTGGTTTCTATCTCCCCTTGGGCTATTCTGTTCTTCTATAAGAACTACTGTCTAACAAAACAGGAAGATAGAACAGAGTTTATTTTAAATGTATACAAAGAAAAGAGAAAAGAGTCTCCTGTCTTGTCCCTTTTCACAAGGGAACAGTTGTAACCCACTTTCTGGTAAGTGTCATTTTTTAACTTCTTTCCCCAAAACTAGTTCCTAGGAAAAGTTCACAACACTGATAGGGAAGCTACACGAGTGAACCAGAGAATCTCAATAAACAGTGGTACCAGCATCTCTCTGCTCACCTACTTCGCTTAAGTTTCAGTTTGCTTACTTGTTCCAGCAGGCTCCAACCTGGACTGTATCGTCTTTTTCATCTTTTGGAACTGGAGTGTCCTGCCAAGCACTGTACTAAGCACTGGAAATAAATATTTAAGCAAAAAGAAAGATAGTTCTTTCAAAAAAGGAGAGCTAAAAAGCGGAGAGGAAGAATAGGAAACATAGTGGACTAGTACAGAGAGTCAGAAGTAGAGCCAGGAGAGGGTTAAAGGAATAGCCAGGCTGCATCTTGAGTACAGTTTGTTGGGGGTGCCACATTTCAGCAATAACATTGTTAAGTTGGGGAACATCCCAAGCAAGGTGAGCATCAGGATGCTGAAGGGCCTCATACAAAATTAAGGTGAAGAAATTTGGAATCTGGGAGAGAAGACTTAGAGAAGTTGTTTCAAGTATTTAAAGAGTTGTCATTTGGAAAAGGTATTAATCTTGCTCTAAAGGAAAGAACTAGGAGTAGTCAATCAATAATCAGAACATAAACACCTATTAAATGCCTATGATGTGCCAGGTATTCTGCTATGTGCTTGCAAAGATGCAAATTCATATTTAATTCACTAGAAGTCTTCGAAGGGAGCATGACCATTTTAAGGGTTATGGATTGTTTAAGTACATGTTGGAATAGATGGCCTTTGGGGTGTCTTTCAAATTTGTCTCTGTGATTCAAAGATTCCAAGAAAACATTTTTATAAAGTGAAATATTATTGCATCCTGTTATGAACTCTGGTTAATAATTACAACTAATGTTAAGTATAATAAATTAATTCTCTATGTTGAGGATTTCATTTCTAAATATCTCCCCATTTTGTAACATGTTATTGCCTTGCATAGACAATAAATACTTGTTCAAATGAATCATAGCCAAGTTTGTTGTAAGTTACCAATGTATAGACAAATCACCTGTACATGAGAGTGTCCCTGACCTGAGGCTGCCAAATTTATACTGAATGGGAAGCTAAGAAATGAGAGAATGAAAATGGAAAAAGAGAACTTTCTTTACTCTCTCCTACCTCTCAGACCAAGAATTTTCAATATTGCTTTAGAGCTCTTTTTTTTTTTTAGTTCTAAACACCTGAAGTTGTAAATTGTCTAAGATTCTGTTCTCGGTTCTCTTCTCTCCAACTACATTTTCTCCCTAGGCAAGCTACAAGATTGCCAAGAGAACATTAGCTATCACCTACATCTAGGTGACTCTCAAAAAAATAGCTTTATCCCTGACCTCTCTAAAATTCCCGATTCACTTTTTTAACTGGCTCCTGGATGTTTCATGCCATCTTTATCTCAAATCTCACACAAAATAAACCATATATGCCTTGAATACTTCAACAGCATCACAACTGGTCTTCATACCTATGCCCTTTTGCTTCCTCTAATCTATTCATCACATTGCCAACAGAATAATTGTCCTTCTTTACAGACCCAATCATGTCACTTCCTCTCAAAATTCTTTAGTTGTCCTTTATTGCCCAACACATGAAGTC